GTAAATTACCGACTCCATGGGGATTCAATCACTCCTCATCAATATAGATTGACAGTTTTCTCGCCTTTCCCACTTTTCAACCAATGGTATTTCACTTCGCTCAGACGAAGCAGCAATGAAAAAAAAATACAGAGATCAGGGCAGGCTCACTTTCTTGACACCTCTTCACCAGACTCCTTCCCCCCGGATCGTATTGCTCTTTGTCACTCATGCATGTGACTCAAAGGTGAGCCTGCTTGCAGGCTAAAGGAAACCTGAAATTAGTAGTTTACTAACTAAACGATAAAAAAACACACCAAAGAGATAATAGTAGACCATAAGGAACAAGTTTAGTTAAGGGTGGAGAATATTAACACAGATTATGAATGACAAAATTGCAAAATTTAGGCTTAACTTTTCAAGATGCACAAACCGTGACATATTGTAGCTCCCTTAAGGCAGGGTTCTCAGTTACTTAAATTTTAATTAACTAATTAGGCTAATTAGGTGGGAGGCGCGGTGGCCTCATGGTTAGTGNGGAGTGACCTGCGATGGACTAGCATCCCCTCCAGGGGGAGTAGAAATACTCCTAGCCGCTTCATGCTACAGAAACCGGGATAAGCTCTGGCAGCTATGAACCTGTCGGCTCCAAGGCTTCACTTCAGTTCACCAGGCAGGTACTCCTTACTCTTTGTTTCAGCATGTTTTGCACAGCTGTAACTCTGGATAACTAGTGGGAGCATTCTGACACCTGCCTTAAGCATCCTTTGTATAGGGGAGCAATGAAAAGGGCCAAATGAAATGGTATTGATTCCATGGTGCATGGTCTCAGGATAGTAACAGTAATGGAGTTTAGATTTGATATAAAGTAGATCAAGCTAACTGTTGTCATTTGTTGTGGTAAATGTGGTGTACGTGTATATTACAGTTCAAATTATTGTAATATGAATGATTGATTTTTGCCAGTAAATTGTGGGGAGATCATGTGCTGTTTCCAGTAGCTGGCCATTATTTTGAGTTACATGATTGGGCAAAGTGCTGAAGTGGCAAAATTTCCCTCTTTCAATTGCAACCAGATCAGTTATATCCCAATGATCATAGACTGATGTCTGACTGAAGGCACAACTTTCTTCCATGTGACTCACTTTGCCCATCCTTCGGCGCTCAATTTGTTTAACCCATTTTACGTTAAAAATTTGCATCTATACCTTTTTCGTGCCTTTTCACTGTGTAAGAGCCTGGCACATGCTATGCAGCTGGCGACGTACAAAGCCAACTGGCAACTCCAGGACTCACATTCTTTCCACACACATTCTTTAGATGTTTATTATCCAGTGGTTTTGTTTTCTCCAGAGTAGCCTAAATTTATTGTAAAAATGTATACTGAAATCGTTCCCTTTACTTTAGAAAAAGTTCTATGGTCCTGAACAAAGGTGGATGTTTTTAAGTGGTGAGTTTGGATTGAGATATTTACTGCTTACTTTACCAAGTTGACACAGAATATTTTCCATTGAAATCTGATTGGAAATATCATACAACCCTCCATTTATTTGTACTGAATCTTGCTGACAATCTGTGAATCCTTTTTAACTGTAGTTAACAACTGAAAACTTTTGTGAAGAATTCTAAATTAAATAACATGTTTTCCAGCAGCTAATTTTGCAGAAGAACACACAGGAATGCACTGGAACCAGCCAGTGCTCAAACCTGGAGCATTCAGTTTTGACTCCAGTGTAGTCCTTTAGGCCACCTTACTACAAGTGTTTTAATTATTGAATTTTAAGGGCCGATTCCTGCATGCTTTGCTGAGGAGGTGAAATTTCACTTCTTGAAAATTAGGAATTTTCAATATTTTAAAATTCTCTCAAAATTTGACATGAAACAAAATCTCTGCATTGCATAATAAAGATTAAAAATAGAAACAACTCAGTGTGACTACTCCAACCAAGGCCACCCAATAAGATTTTCCTCAAATTTAACAAATAAAAATCTTGGAGTTTAACAGTAGTTTTCCAATAAACTATCCATGCAATCAAGCTGCACATTGCAAAGGCCACAGATTTGTGGTCATTTTGGATAATTTGTTGGAAAACTATTGTTAACCTCCACGATTTTGATTCATTAAATTTGTAGAAGATTTTGTCAGGTGGCCTTGGTTAGAGTAGTCGCAGTTCAATCAATGAAAAAAATCCTGATAAAGTAATATGCTTGGGAGCCTTTACATTTTTTCAGAATTGGTCACAAGACCACGGGCGTGACCTGATGACGTCATCACTGGTGTTACTGATCATGAAAAAGTTACGTGTAAAACATATAAAGTAACTCTAAACAAACTAAAGATGACGAGGTCGGATGAGAGTAAATTTTCTTTACCAACGGCTCGAAAAGATCAGTTATTGTTCCCTTAATATGAGCTATATGATATTATATGTTATTATTTTTTCGTTAGGTTTTTTACGCTATAGTGTGTGGAAGTCGATTTTCCGATCAAAGAGCAAGGGTGTTGAAGGCAACTTTGTTGGAGAAGGACGGATACTGGGTGGAGTGTTTGTAGTAGGACCTGGAGAGCAAGGAATTCTACTTGATCATAAAGAAAAAGAGTTTGGTGATAAGGTTGACCTTAAAGATGTTCGAGATGCTATTTTGAGAATGAAGTCAAGTAATTAGAGACAAAGGAAAAAAAAA